TCCCCAGCCAGCATGCTGGCTGGGGAACTCTGGGAGTTGAAGTCCACACATCTTAAAATGGCTAAGGTTGAGAAACACAGCTGTAGACCAAGCCTGCACAACTTGTAGAGGTGAAAGGGGCATATTGATAAATTAAAAATCCTCACGGGCTGCAAAAGAATACCTGGCATGCAGATCAGCTGTTCTGCAGCTAGTGGGGCAGAGGCAGTGCTGGAGCTGGTGGTGGTGATGAAGCTTGGAGGCACTTGGCAGTGTGTCTTTTGGGGTGGTGGTGAATTTTTTACTTTTTAAAAACACCAGCGGGCCACACAAGGCTGCTTGGTGGGCTGCATGCAGCCTGTAGGCCAGATAGACTTAAGATTCTTGAAATTGGTGCCCTTCAGATGTGTTGGACTCTAACTTGCACATTCCTACCACCATGGCCAACACATCTAGAGGGCATCTGGTTGAAAAACACTGCCCTGCCCACTGTCTGTATCCTCAGAATAATTTCCTTTATAAATCTCTTTAAGCTGTTGGTTTCATTTTTAAAAAATGCTTTCACTTTTAAGTACAGTGTGGTACCTATTTTATTCCTTTTAGTCATTTACCTGTATTACTCTATTGAGTTTTATTGTCACATTCTTCTATTTTAATCATGTTCAGTGTTGCATTATTCCCATTATACTGACATGCTATAAAAAAAGTATTACACTATATCTAACCGAAGTTCTCAAATTTCTCTGCAAGTGTCTGAGAGTGATTATTTTTTACACTGATGTGTGATGGATAAAGTTCCAAGAAACATTAATTATATCGTTTCAGAAATAGGGGAGCATTATTCCTTTCTTCTTTTATTCCAGTAGTCTTCTAGCAGTGGTGTGTAGCTACAATTACTGCCCCTCAGGGACACCAGTGGGTTGGTTATGGTGGGGCCCCATAGAGTGTTCTGCCAATGATATCCTCTTCTATAACAGATCCATGATGAAATGATGCTGTCTCTCATTGTACTCTGTGCTGTCACCTCCATTCTGCCATGGCATCTGTAAAGTGCCAGTAGCCATGACAGTTCAATCAACATTTTTTGCTCTACTCCCACATAGTTCTTTATCACCCTCTTCACTTTAAAACAGGGATAGATGTGGGTGACATTCAAAAATGATCTCACCATCAGGTGGACTCTAATAATCTCCTTCCACATGAATTTTTAAGAGTGTAATTAAATGAAGACATGATGGCTTCAGTGATGGTTGTTCTTTTCCTCTCTCTGCCCATTTGTTTACTATTTTGTTTACTAGCTTGGTTTACCATCTTGCCTGATGAAGAGTTCTGGAAAACTTGAAGTTTGTACCTAATAAAGGTATTGTCCTCATATAAAATTCTGATTTTTTTCTATGACTTATGCAGGCTTAGACTTATGACTTTCTCAGTGTTGCTCCTCATCCTTATTGCAAGCAAGAAATATCAGAAAGGGTTGTCTGAGTCACACCTTGTTCTTTGGGAAAAAGGGAAATACAGGGAGTGAATCTCATTAACTGGGAATGAAACTTAACTTTGGTCTTGAGATGTTAGTTCCCTGGATATGACTTCATATGTCTGTCAATATCCCTAATGCTTATTTTAGCCACATAGAAATATCGAGTGTTCAGTAATGTGGGAAAAACAGAATGCTTTATAGACATTCTCCTAGTCTCTCTGGCAAATATATCACCAAAGTAGTTTCTATAATTTTTTTTTTTTTTTTGAGCAAAACAAGCAAATGGTATACTGAACCATGACTTAACTAAGAGATCTCTTTTTACTTGGTGAGAGGCAGCAGGCAGGTATCCAGGCTATGAATGTCTGAATGTAAGGAGACTAGGGCCCTCTGTGCTAAAAGAAGTTGTTTGGAGAACCAAACCAAGTTTGGGGAGGACAGGGCTGCTGGGATGGACTTGGGCATTTGGTCTTCATTCAAATCTATCCCCAAATTATTTAAATGGAGTCTTCACAGGGTCCCCTCATCCTTAGTCAGGTGCAGTGCTTTTCTATCCACTCATCCTTTGTTGTATTTATGTTAACACGTGCACCTTTATAAAATCACTTTCGTCACCGGGATGGTGGTGAAAGGAACAGCCTTGGCATATGGGGAATTAGGCCAGTCTGTAATGGTGGGAAGCAGATTGGTAATGATGTGCAGAAAGGGACCAAAGTAGAGGGGAGGTCTCAAGCAGTTCAAGGGCTCTAAGGCGCTCAATCCATCCACTCCCGATGATGGCCAGGAAGCCCATGATTGGTTCGTGCTATGCCAGTGCTCTTCTCCTGTTTCCTCCTGGAATTTTCCTAGCCAGGTGATTGCAGAAAGATTAAGTAGTCAGCTAAGAGGCTGGCCAAGGATGGAATGGAGATCCACAGCCTGTGAAAGATCTCATATCAACAGTTAAAGTTGTGGCCTTTCTGTTGTGCCTCCCTTCCTTTTGTTGCTGCCAGAGAAAATGATCACATTTGGACAGATTAACATGCAATGTAAGGTGCCTAGATTTTTATAAAGCAGTACCTACTTTCTCCCTCACCCCCATCCCAGCTAGAGTTGGGTAATTAACAATTTTAGACTCCTAAGCCCAGCAGGGATGGACATAATTGCAAATATAGTTTGAGTTCAAAGGGAAGCATGTCCCTGTTGCAACCAGAGTTCATGGGGCAAGGCAGGGTCAAACGGGTTAAGGTTTCAAGGAAGCTTCACAGCAAGAGTAGATAATCAAGAGTCAGCTACTACATAGTTCAAAGGAAAGTGCAAGGTGGGCTGTTGCATAAGTTGTTTTGACAGTAAACTGCATTCACCTGGGTCTTAAATAGAGGAAGTTTGCAATTCCTGTGTGAGCACAGTGGCCACTGATCAGTCCTGAGTGTCAGCACCAGATTGCTCCTAAGTAGATATGCTTATGCCAGTTGCTCTTCAATGCAACTGAGCACTCCTTTGCTTTCCTGCTGTTTCACTCTTCACATGAAGACAGGGGTGTCCTTGTGGGCTGGACGATGAGACTGTGGTTTCAGCCACAAGGGCTAGAGTTGGGGCTGGTGGACTATCTAGACCTGGAACTATCCCCATTGGGTCTGCACAGTGCTTTGCATTTCAACTGAGAAGAGATGCTCCAGAACACACGGAAGCATGAAAACAGATCTGGCAGTGACTCATTAAAGCAGCTGTATTTGCTTCCACAATCATGCAGCTGCAGCAGAAGCCTCCCTGCAACACCTGAGTGATCCTAGGAAAAGGTGCAGCTGCTACCATGCTCCTCCATGTGCTAAAACATCTCAGTGGAATTGAATCATTGCACAGCCTTATTCCCAGCTGCTTTGGTCTTCTTCCTCTTCTGAGGATCTCTCATCAACTGGGGGCATGACACATTTACAGGTACTCCTCATTTAGCAACCACAATTGAGACCAACAATTCCATTGCTAAGTGAAGTGGTTGCTCACTGGGAAATCACATGACCGTGACTGTGCTTTCCTTTTCCCCACTCCCATGTCCTTTGGAATGCTCACCCCGGTGCTGGGATAATTAGCAAGAAGGAAAACGAATGTTTGTATTTACATTCATTGGAGAGGAGGGGATTATAAGAGAATAAGCAGGCATACAATGGGGAATACACTGAGATCTTTGCATAGTGTGCTTGTGGCTCCCAGCCCCAAGCATACTCAGGGTTGCTGGTGCCGCCACATTCCTTTCAAAGTGTATTCCCCATTGTGTGCCTGCTTAGTCTCTTGTAATCCTTTCCTCCCCAATTTCTCCACTCTGCAAGGGGGGAAAAAAGGAAAAACAACAGGTCAGGCACAGGACAACGCATACTGACTGTAATGGCAATCAAGTGAATGAGGGACACTGCAAAGGTCGTAAATGCAGGCATTGTTCATCAAGTTATTTTTTCAGCACTGTCATAACTTCAAACAGTTGCTGAATGAGGCAGTTGCTAAGCAAGGTCTACCTGTACAATTCATTTCTAACCTACACTATCCACATTACAATGTTTACAACAACAGCAGAGCAGCTGAGTCATGGTATCTAAAAATTCCCACCACTGTAAGCGCTAGCATTATGCAGTGTACAAAGTTCAAGCAACATTTATTTTTCTCAATCACAGTCTATCATGAAATGCCAGGGTTCCATAGAACCCCAGTTGAGAAAGGCTGGCCCAGAGAGTAACTTACAATCCAGTATCTCACAACTTGAGCTTTTCTGTGTATTGTGCACAGCCCCTTTCAAGGCTAATGTTAGGCTTTGGTCTTGCTTTAGTTCTTTTCTGGAAAATGAAATGAGCCTTATGGCATCTTTCCCCTGCGAATGGATTTAAATGTTATCTGTATTCTAGTGTTGCCTTGTATTTATGGAATCTAATGCCTCCTTTTTCTTTTTATTGTTTCCTTTCAAGATTATTGTTGGAGAAACTGCAGTGTTTTGCTTACAGATGGCCACACGGGATTTTGAAAACCAAGAAAAAACAATATTAACTGGAGACTGTTGCTATATAAACCCACTTGTGCGCAGGACTGTCAGGTTCCTTGGTAAGAATATTGGGTGTTACTTTCTAATTTTGATGCATTAGGGAGTGTAATTCAGTTATATAAACCTCCTATTCAAATGAATGTTTTTCTGGGTTCTTGTGGCTCCCATATAAATGTAAAACTATAGTCTTAACTCTTATCACTCCCTCTAATAGCAAACCCTGCTCTTGAGTGCTTATAGGATTGAAGCCAAAATGATGCTGCTGAAAAACTAGCATTCACAGTTTGTGTCAGTTCATTGCATCTACTTCTGAGATTCAAGCAACAATATGTTGGCTAGCAAGGTGGTCTCTGGAGTAGAGATCCCAGCTTACATAGAAGAGCATGACCACGGTTGAAGCAAATGTGGATTTTGGTTGCATTTGTGGCACACTGGCTAAATGTGCCAGAAATGACTGATATTTTATTTACTGTTACCAGAGAATGTGCAGGCATGGTGATAGTTAAGGCTGGCAACTAGTCCAGAGCTTCTCTACCTTATTAAAGTTAGAGACTGCTGGGTTTGACAGTCCTGGCCGTTTTCATACAGTTTCTAACCTTCCCCTTCTGGGAGAACGTTGAGAAAGTGGCCATCAGAGCACTCTGGAGGAAACAGATTATCTAGACCCATTTCAGTGGGGTTTCAGACTGGGACATAGTATTGAGATAGCATTGGTTACATTTGTTACTGACCTCTGGTGGAACTGGGATGGCATAGTGCAACCATCCAGGTTCACCTTAATCTCTAAGTGGTTTTCAATATTATTAACCATGGTACCCTTCTGGACCATTTATGGGAATTATGAGTGGAAGGTGCAGTATTGCAGTTCTCCTCCTTCCTTTGTAGTTGGATCCAGGCAGTGTTGGGGGGGAGAAGAATCAAGCCAGAGACCCCTGATATGTGGGGTGTCTCAGGATTTGATGCTGTCACCCCTCCTGTTTAACATTTGCATGAGGCTACCAGGTGAGGCCATTCAACAGTTTGGATCAGCTATCATCAATACACTGATGATATCTCGATCTCAGGCCAACCAGGTCATGCTATCAGGGTCTTATCCCAGTGTTTGGAGGCTGTGCAGGTATGGATGAGGAGGTACAGGTGCAAGCTGAGCTATGGCAAGATTGAGTAGTTGTGGGAATTTGGATCACCTGAGTCTGGGGAGAGAAATAAAGGGTTCCATCTTTAATCCTGAATGCTTGTGCTTCCCCCTTTGGGACTGGTGCACAATTTGAGGGTCTCTTTGGACTCACAGATACTGTTCAGAGGAGGCCAGGAAAGCCTTTGTACAAATTCATCTAGCATACCAGTTGCACCAATATTTGGACCAGGATAATCACACATGCTTGGTCACCTCATGTGTGGACTGAAGATCACTTGGAAGCTGCAGCTGGTACTGAATGCAGTGGCTAAGGGAATTATGGGCGTGCATACCACAGTATGCCAACATAACTTTTCTGTACCATGAACTGAATTGGCTACCAGTAAGATTCTGGATGTGATTTCAGACACTAGTTATCATCTATAGTCCTTCACGGCACAGGGCCATGGGTAGGGCAGAGACAGTTTCATAGGATCAGAGTCCTGCCAGTAAAGAATCAGCC